GCCCTGTGGGGACCCTAAAAGTGGCTTTATGTGGTTAATTTAGACTCTTGTGGTGACAAGAAAGGTTTGAAGGGTTGGGTTGAAAGGGTCAATGGGAGGTTTTTTTTTTCTTTTTACAGTTATATTTCTTTAAAATTTTATTTTTTATATTATTAAATTATTAAAAAAATAAAAAATATTATATATATAAAAATACTTTAGATTCTCCCATCAGTTAAATTAAGAGGACAAGAGGGGCCATCATTATTCCTTTGCCTCCTCAAGTCACATCGCTGTTCCATCTTCTTCTTCTTCCCCTAATCTCAGGCTATTCACAAGACAAATAAAAGTGTTTTGTGCACAAACACCTCATAGCTGCCTCCACATCATTTGAGATGATATAGAGTTATTTTTTAAAGTTTTTTTTTATTTAAAAATATATTAATTTTTTATTTTTAAATTTTGAATATCAAATAATCTAAAAATATTAAAAACATAAAAAATAAATTAAAATTTTTCATTCCTGGTTTGTGTTGTCTACAAGCCATCTATGACCCTGTTTATACCAAGTCCACAACTAATTACACAAGGAATCTGTAGAAATCCCTTTGAATAAGGAATCTAGAAAAAACTATGCACAATGTTCAACAAACCCTAATTATCCTTTATTTCTTTATCAAATTCCATCATCTTTAAATTTGGATTTGTTGAATCTTCAGAGTGTTCAATTTTCAAAGAACAAATCACCTTTTCTTGGAGTTTCTCCACCTCGAACTAAAGTTTTCCACAACATAATAATATCTCATTGTAGTCTTCGAGGCTTCAACATTATTCGTTGTTGGGTTTTGTATGCTATAAACTATCTTGTACAAATCTCAATTAACTTTGTATTATAAGTAAATGTATTATATATTTTTGTATTTTAAAAGTATTTATAAAATAATTTAATTATTTATTTGTTTATTTTAAATTAATATTTTTTTTAATGTTTTAGATCATTTTAATACGTTGATACCAAAATTAATTTTTAAAAAATAAAAAAAATATTATTTTGATGTATTTTTAAATAAAAAAATATTTTAAAAAACAACTACAACCATACTTTTATTTTAGCTTTTGTAGTCAATATTGTTGTTTGGTACAACCCAATTATGCACAAAAACTGTACTTTTATTTTAGCTTTTGTAGTCAACGTTTTATTTGGTACAACCCAATTATGCACAAAAACTCAACTACAAAAACTAATTTTTCTTGTTTTTATAGCTTTTTTGATGGGTCTCACACCCAAAGCTCAACCTCTATCTCTAAAACAAACATATAAACACCCCTCAAATAAAGAGTGTTTAGAAGTGCATTCAATTAATATTTCTAGAAAATTTTAATTTTTTAATTAATATTTGTTATTGTTTTTAGATTATTTTGATGTGTTAATGTCAAAAATAAATTTTAAAAATAAAAATAAATATTATTTTAATATATTTTATGTTAAAATACATTATGAAATAAAATATATACAACTCTTCTTTGTTGTGCTGAGCCAAAACTTTGCTACCACACTCAAACAAAACAATAACATAAAATAAAGACACATACAGGGTTGAACCAACATTGCCTACAGCCATAAATCTCTAAATATATCTATATAAAGAAAGATTCTTCTACTACTAAACAGGTTAAAAGAGGAAAGGCTTCAAGCAAGAGTCTTCCTTTGACTGTTGGGGTTAAAAGCTTAAACTTTCTCATTATACTAATCTCTACTTATAAAGCTTAAACCAACTTTGTTGCTTTCTTCTTAAGGAATCCCACGCTCATGAAAAAATCTCGCTGGATAAGGAATTTAAGCATGTTTGTTTCTTCATTTAGAATTTTTAAAGAAATTTAAATTTTATTTATTTATTTTAAATTAATATATTTTCAGTATTTTTAAATATTTTAGCATACTAATATCAAAAATAATTTTTAAAAAATAAAACATATTATTAACATATATTTTAGTAAAAAAATTATTTAAAAAATAACTGTATACACTGTTAAATAAAATAAAATAAAATCTATGGTTGTGTTTATTTGTATATCAAAAAAGAAAGATCATTTTTTTTATATATTTTTTAAGAAATAAAAAACTTAAGAAAAACATATGTTACCTTTGTTTTCTTTATTCTTCGTACCAATATATATAATAAAAAAATACCGTATGTGATTGAATATATTAAAAATATTATAAAAAATAAATATTTTTCATCTTAAATATAAAAATTTAATTATATAAAATATAAATAAAATTCTTCAAAAATTATATACTCCTTCGTATCCTTGATTTGACTTGCTCCCTATCCTTACTGGGGACTCGGCAGACGTTGCTTTCTCCATGAGTTCGATTTGTTTTCTTTATCCTTCGTACCAAAATATATACAAAAAGTTATTTATATGATAAAAAAACCTCAGATGTTACATGACAACAACCTTAGAATCTAATAGATAAAAGCCACAACTGTTTAATAATTTAATATCTATCCACTAAATCAAAGACAAACTCCTCGTGAAAATTAAATAAAATAAGCTATGATCTTGAGTATTTGCCCTCTCCTTTGCTTTCCTTTTGGTTTGGATGGGAACTTCATCTCTGAATTCAATATCACTATCTCTTGAAATTTCTGTAATTAATTTATCCATAAATGCAATTTGTTCCAAGTGTTTAAGATTTGTATCACTCATGGTGGTCTGAAAAGGAAACCCGTGTACCTCCACCACCTTCATTATGTATTTACTTTAGCAAACCTTCAACAAGGTTTCTTTATGGCGTTGTTCAAGGCCTACCCGCCCTTTCATCAAAGCATAGCTTTGTCATATCTTTACAAAAAGAACCATGGATCCCCACCCTCTTTTCCAGATGCCCTTTTGATCTATCGCTTGGGCCGGCCAGGGATCGTGGAGTCAAACGTTACAGGTAGCTGCTCGCCGGAGCATGTACAGGTATTTGAAGACCTGACAAGAACCCTGTTGATACGTAAAAAACTGGGTTCTTGTCCAACACGCAATTGTATTTATAGTCTCTGTAGAATATACCAATAATTAAGTTCGTGATTAAAGATAGGTTGAAATGATTCTGGGTGGTGATTTATCATGAACTGTTTTTGTAGGGACGGTTTGTATTTAATTTCAGGCCATCTTTCACCAAATGACTTCTCTAACCACATCACATGCAATGTGGTAGTAGCGAAATAGTAAAGATTTGAGACTAAAAGGTTTGTTTTTTCTGTAATCTCAGGATCGAATTCTTGGTTGCTCATATGATGGCCATTGGAGGCTGAGGTTTTATATTAATAATTTTTTTTACTGATATTTATCTCTTTACATTACCATCTAATCTAAATAGACTAACTGCTCGTAATACATATATAATCTTTTAAAAGTTACTTGGAATTTAGGTAAACCTCGTACTAAAAAAGTTTTCTCATTTAGGTCTATTATTAAAGTTGAGTTCTAGTATATTAATTTTATTAATGCTCACAAACCCAAACATTAAATATATATTTTTATTATTATAGATTGATATGCTGACATAATGAGCTTCACTAGCTCCAATTCACAACACCCTTCAAATAATTTCATCTTCTATTTCAAGTATATTATAATGAAATAAATCATATAACAATTTAAATAGTGTATATTATAGTGAAATAAATCATATAACAATTTAAATAGTTCATTAATAAACATATCTAATATAACAATTAAGAATTCATGGCTTCTTCCATTATAAATAATATTATTGTTGCTATTTACAATGGTTATATCATGAAAATATAATATTTTAAAATCACCTGATATTATATCAAATAGAACAACTAAACACAAGCATAATTTGTTAATATTGTGGGGTTAATTAAGATAGTTTATCAACAAAATTTTAATGATAACATAATCAACAAAAACCTAAATTTATCAAATTAATAGATTAAAACTTAAATTTATAAATTTTTTCTATCCTAACAAAATTATCACTTCAATTCATGTAATTAATAACTAATAATCTTATTTTATATCTAATTTATTCTAAATAAACCCTATTCACAATCAACAACCCCCTCCAAAAAAAAATATTTATTATCTTATAAAATAACATAATTATCTACTCAAATTATATCTGATAAATCTAATTAAAAAAAACCCTAACATTTTGAAATTAAAATCAACACAAGTTAGTATAAATTACATCAAATTAGAAAAAAAAAATATTGAATATATCTTTTAAGTATAGAATGTGGGTGCTGGTGGTTTTGGCCAAAAATAGCTTGAGAGAAGGTAGTGACCTCTCGCTGGAGACGGAGGGAGGGAGGTGAACTTATGATGTTTTCGGGTGTGTTTCGTGATGACATTCGCTCACCAAGGGAGAGAGTAGAGGTAGCTAAGTGTGACGAGAGAAGGAAGAAATAAAGGGAGAAAAAGGAAGAAAATGACTCTTGGATTTAATTTTGTTTGGAGTCTGCAACGTGTAACAATTGTCATTTGTAACACGCTAGTCACGAAAGCCCTTTATGACTTGCTTGATTATATCCCCAAATATCTTCTTTACTGTGCTCCTTTTCCCTTTTTTTCACTGTGCTAAAAACCAAAAACAAATTCTGAAGAAGAAAAGATAATTCTGCTCAATTACTCAAACAGAAGTAAAATTTTGTTCAGCTTTAATAGTTAGCTCATCTGCATCAAGAGATCATTTTGTCGATCAGAGCAACAAGCCCTGCCTTACAAACCTTTCCTTTTCCTGCCTTACCAAGACCAAGACCATTCTACTAAAATGCCTCAGTGAAATGCTACAGCAAGCGATATTGCTTGAGCACCAAGACCAAGACCATTCTACTAAAATGCTGCGAAAAAAGGCTCGAAAGAATCGAACCAACAGATTGCCTGAAAGGGTCTATGCTGGGAACCAAATCAAGAATTCATGTTCTTGACAGGTTGCTGGTAACACCCACTTATTTTATCTGAAATCCATGTAGCAAAGTAATTGCAAAATTATAATCCATGAATGGCAACTACCATACTTTATTGGCCGAACCATAAAGCTGGCTAGTTTAAAATTCAGAGGACCAACACAAAAGCTTTACAATTCCATCTTCCAGTACTACATATAAGGCAGCTTGCTTACAATCCCACAGAACCCAAAAACACACAAATATGGACCAGCAACATTCCCATCTTCACACAATTCATATATCGTATCTAGTCTAAAAAATAACTAGGAAAATAGACCAGCCTCCAGCAATAAGACACACAACAGCAGCTGCATCAGCCTAATTCCAGTCCTCAATCTGCATCTGCAAACCTGAAATGCAATTGCAGCAGTGACCGAATTTAGAAGAAGATCAGAGACGGCAAAACCATACAGACAAGACAAATGGTTAAAGAGGGTACAGAGATTGAAAGTTGCTTTTTACTTACCCAAGCTCTGAGAGCTTCAAATGAGCTTCAGCATAATCTGCAAAGAAGGCATCCTCATCCTAAAGATAAAGACATCATGATGTCAAAGTTAGATAATTACACTTTAGTGTAAAAGATTATTGTCAAGTTGATATGTTGGGGGAAGAGGGGGGGGTTCCATCCAAGGTCAACTTTACAAAATCTATTATCTAATATCGAAAAGAAATGAGTGTCTACTCACTGCAGCATATTTTTCAACAAGGGGGCGGAAGACTGGATCCTCCAGAAGGGTTTTATCTGACGGAAGCTGGATAAGACCTTCTTTCTCTCCACTGAGGAGTTCCCTGTTTAACAGAATCAAAATTCACATTGGTTATTTGATCGCATCTTCTTTTTTAACAAATGATTTAGTATTAGTTTGTGGGATAAAAGATTATGTAAAACACCAGTTGGTGAGACGATTACGGAATAGACAAATCATTCAATATAACTTGAATTCTTGACAGAATTATATCAATAAGAAAAAAAAATCTCTGGAGCTGAAAGTATCTTACTTGAAATAGGAGTTGTCAAAAACAAGAGGGTTGGGGGTCCAGGGCCCCTCAAATCCAGAACGCTCCTTGTGGCACCTTCCCTGTAAATATATATTCAAAAACCAATGATAAACATCAATAAATAGAATAAGACAATTATTCACTTAAATCGCACAAAATGAGCAACAATCATAAAAAGAAACCAGCAGAGAAATTCCATGTTCTTTGAACAGACCAGAGTATGACCACCGGACAGGGCAACAATATCTTTGTCACTGAGACCCATATGGCCAAATACATCCCTTAAATGGTCTGAACCTGAAGCGATAGAAAAAGATTAGGAAACCCACTTCAAACATAATTACAAAATAGTGATTTCCTTCAGTTTTCAACTTGGACAAACCTTTGGTTGCATCAGGCAAGCGACCTTCTGGAGGTGGATCAGACTTGTCCTGAATAAATGCAAGGTTGATTAGTACTATCATCTAAGAAATGAAGCATGAATTCTGAGAAGGCAGCTAATGACATCAAAATCTGCATCACCATATTTCTTTGACATACTGCTTCCTATCTCTACAAACATACAAAAATTCATATCAGACTGCTCAAGGTATTGCAAACAGCTTTGAAATATATACAGCAATTTCCAATGATATCCAACAAATAATAAGCTCTTCTTCATTTGAATGACCCCGTCCACATCCCAACAAAGCTACAAAAGCAATCAAGGTAAAGTGCAAAATATTTCCCGGTATCAGGAACAACAGCAGTCAATGGCATTCAAATAGATGGTATCTAATTTTTCCATATGACCGCACTTTTCACTCCAACTCTGAACAAACAGCTTTAATCGATAGCAGTACAAGTCAGCCATGTCATCATTGTTCAAGTCCATTGTCTCTAACACAGTTGGCCAGTCACCATCTAGCATAATGAACCATGTTTTCCAGCTAACTAATACATTAAAGAGGTTGGTGGAACTCAGCTTTGACAATTTGGTCACAGGTTAACCTAAGATCCACATCACTTTCATTTGGTCGTAGATGGACAGAGCTTCTACAATTTACAATTTAGTTCGAGCTAAACTCAACCTAATCTTTAGTCAAAGCAAACAAGTACAAGAGTAGTCAATTTACCTTTGACGGTAAGGACTGATATCACTAAACAACTAAATTTAAGCTCTGTTTGTTTTTGTATTTTTAAAGCGTTTTTGAAAAAATATATTTTTTTTTTTATTTTTTTCTTTGCTTCAAATTGATATTTTTTTGGTATTTTCAAATCATTTTCATGCGTTGATGTCAAAAAAAAAATTTAAAAAAATAAAAAACATTATTTTAATGTATCATGCGCTGATGTCAAAAAAAAATTTAAAAAAAATAAAAAACATTATTTTAATGTATTTTCGAGTCAAAAACACTTTGAAAAGCAACTACAACCACATTATTAAAAAGATATTATCCATTGAACCTGAATTTCAAAATTCATCCACAAAAAAAGTGCATGCGTTGCAGGTTAGCCTTATAATGCAGCAGGTGAAAGCTCTTAAATCCAGAGCACTTCCTTCTCCATAGAATTTCTTTTGCCTATACTATCTACTACCTGAATGACCTACAAAGTAATCAAACTCAACCAAACTTATTGCATTCACTATGAGTTCAAAGTTGTGATATTCAGATAAAAATGAAACCATCAGGCCACCAAAAGATCCTACAGCACACATCTAGAGATTGATCCTATAAACTGATCAAAATATATGTCCTTTGGAGTTTGGACATGATTTATATTTCCCTAGAAAAAAAGGAACTTCGACATCAGGCACAGAATAACGATGAAAAAAAAACCACCACGTATGAAAAAGAACTGATAAAGAATGAACTATCAAGAGGAGATCTGATCACTTAACTGGTCTCCCAGGGTGAAAAGGAACCTCAGGCCCTCCAGTAACTTCAACAGCAACAACACCAGCTAACTGCGAGGACAATCAAACCCACAAAAAAGTCTCAATCATGAATAAAATAAAATAAAAACACTATTATTAATATATAAATCAAATTAAGGCAGGGAAAACATTACTTGGTAGAAGTCAGCATAAGACAAGTTGGGGAACTGCTCTTTGAGGGGTTCCAAAAGCCTGACAGCAATATCAAGACCATTGTTAGCTCCATGAGCAAGCTCATCTGGGTGTCTGATCGTCCCAAATGGCCCTCCTGTCTTGGTATTCACATCAAAAGTACCAGCAGAGTGCCATCTACATCATCAACAACAACAGAGAATATAAAACCCCATAAATACTTAAAACAGTTACCACTATCAAAAAGAAAGGAAAATAAAACAATCAGACAGGGTCTGGGGAGATGGTCTTACGCTAATCGGAGCATGAGGGGAGCGCAGTGTTTTTCAGCGATGAGTCCTCTGAGCTTCCTCTTGCATTTCTCCACTGCCTTCTGATACTCTTCGCTCACTGTAGGGTAGCACTTGCCCATAACGAAAATGGTGATCTTCTTCTTTCTTTCTTTCTAGCTCACTGCCAGCCAGTGACGGAGGAAGGGCGATATAAGGATGGTTTTCAAGACACGAAGTTTCTGGCCTTTACCTTAATTAGTCGCTGGACTTTTCTGCCAAGCAGACGTGGTTGGGCGTGGGCCGGCTGTCTTTGAACGGCTCAGATCGTGCTGGAACAAATGATGTTAGTTGAAACTGGGCTTCCAATGAGATATTGCCACGTATGAATAGAATAACCTTAATGATGATCTACCTCCGTTGTGTACGACTTTAGCAGTGCAGTTGCAGTTTTATAGTCTTGGTTTGGTTTGGTTTGAATAAAAAATATAACGGGCTTCTATTTATTTATTTAATGACTTCTAGAACCATCATCAACCCCTACCTTGTTTTCACATTATAGTGACATACAATAACTTATTATTTTTCTTTTTCATTGTTGAGCTATTTCTTTCAATTTCTTATAATATGTTAAAAAAAAAATGAATTCAACAAAAGAAAACCAAAGTGATAAAGAAAGACCCATCATCAATTTCAAGTTCACTCCATAAAGTTTTTTTTTTTCAGTCCTCTTCCTATTTTTCTTTAACTACTTTTTTGTTCTTTGTAGTTTTTAAAATTATATTTTTAATTCAAAAATTCATTCTATTTTTCTTTATCTACTTTTTTGTTCTTTGTAGTTTTTTAAATTATATTTTTAATTCAAAAATTCATTCTATTTATTTTCTAATTTTTGAATTTGATAAAAGAGAGAGAAACTCGCTAGAAAATAAAAGCAAAATAATAAAGTTATTAATTGGTCACATTCAAGTAATCAAAATAACCGAATTCGATGTTAATGAATTTTATTTTATGAAAAAAGTTTAATAGTGATAGGTTTTTCCTAAAAAAACATTAGAAAAGATAGATTGGGTTCATTTATATTTTTTTATTCAATTAATTTCTATTTTTTAAATTATTTTAGGATATTTTTGTAGTTATAAGTGGATTATAAAGGATTTTATGGTGGTGTTTTTAAGTTCTTTTTAGTTAGAACTCACTTTAAAATTAAGTTTTTAAGTCCAAAAAACTTGGAATCCAATTTTTCAATATAAGTCATTTGTTGTCTATTTTTTTTAATTAAAAAATAGCATGTTGTTCACTCGTGTGAAAAAAAACTTGGTTTTGGATATATTAATTTATTAAATCTTTAAATTAATTACAATGATGGTATGGTCTTAGATTTTTTTTTATCTCTTTGGGTTTTTTTTTGTTAATTTTATTATTTAATATTAAATTTATTGAGAATTAAGATTTATAATTTTTTTTATTTGCTTTCTATGAGATTATTTTGGTCTTATGATCTGATTATCAAATTTGATGAGTTAACTAGATTGATTCTAATCAGGTTTTTTTTGAATTTTTTTAATCTATCCTTCAATATTGAGTTAATTGAAAATTGAATTTCATGATTTATTTTGATTTATTTTCTATGAGGTTATCCTAGTCTAATAACTTGGTTTGCGAGTTTAGTAGGTTAACTCAAGTTGACTTAACTCTTTTATTTTTGTTCTTTTTTTAATTGAATTTATTTATAATTTCATCATTCAACATTAAATTGATTGAGAATCTAGTTTTATAATTTATTTCAATTTGTTTTTTGTGAGATTATCTCAATTTCATTATTTAAGAATTTGTTTTCTGTGAGATTATCTCAATTTCATTATTTAAGTTATAAATTTGAGAGGTTAATCAAGGTTGACTTGAGGCTTTTTTATGTTATTTTTTTTTAATTTTATCTTTCAACATTAAATTGATTAAGAATTAGATTTTATAATTTTTTTTAATTTTTTTTCATAGAGTTATCATGGCCTCACAACTTCAATTATGGATTTGGCGGGTTAAACTTAGTTGACTCGTATTATTTTTTAAGATCTTTTTTTAATTTGATATTTTTCAATTTCACCTTGCAACTTTAGATTATTTGACAATTAGGTTTCATAATTTATTTTTATATTTTTTATGAAGTTATCACAGTCTCATAACTTGATACACGAATTTAATAGGTTAACCTAGATTATTCCAATATATTTCCATCTTAATATTTAAAAAATATAATCTTAAAAATCTTTTTAGTCAAACCATGTTTTTATCAGTCATTTGGGGTGCTTTTGAACCTACCAAGTCGATCAAATCAAACTAAGTCAACCCTCATATGTTTTAAATTCTCTTATACTAAAAAAATTAAAAATACCTGAATATTTTTTTTGTACTCAAAGAAATCTTAATCAAAATCATAGTGTAAAGCATTTTATTGATGTTAAACTACATTCTACACCACAACATTATAGTTGTAAGTAAACAATTCTAAAGATCTATCTTTCATTAATGTGACCTATAAGTTAGTTTTTGTTTTGGAAAAAAATAAGTCTAATTTTCTTTTTATTAGGTCAAGTTTTGATAGGATCTTGAATGGATCAATTAAGTTGATATGGATTTTGATTAGATTAGTTTGATTTGATGAAATTAATAACCTATGTCGTTCCCAACATAATTAAAACCTGTAAAATTAAAAAAGAAATTATATGAAAAAATAGAGTCGTCACCTAATACTTTGATAAATAAATTATGCATTAGTTCTAGAGATTTGAGTAAGAGAATTGTTATGTTTAAGGGAAGATAGAAATTACTTTCACTGCATCCTTTCAAATAGAAGGTTATCTTAGCTATAAGTTTTATCCTAAATTTATTTGATGCATGTCATTAACTGTTTAATTTATTTTCTGAGCTTATTTACAAGTTATTTATTATTGATGCATGTTCGTCAAGTTAACATCGAACTATGAATCAAGAGTCTTGCAACTCAATGATTTTTTAAAGTTTTTTTTGTTATTTATTTCTTGACCTTGGAAAAACACATATAGTGAAGGATCTTCCTTTGAATGCGAGGTGCAAAATACAAAAAACATTAATCAATATGCATTTAAAGTTAATAAAGATGAAAATGGGTTATTTTTTAACTAGGTGATTAAATTTAAGTGTATATGAGAAAAAAAAGAAAATTTTCTCAACAAAAAAAGATTTAAGTTGAAAGTTGATACCGATAAGAGATGAACCATTTCAAATCCTTGAAAAAATTAATAATAATGCCTATAAAATGAATCTACCAAGTAATTATAGTGTTAATGCTACATTTGATATTTTTTTATCTCTCTTTATTTGATGTAGGTGTGCTACATTTGATATTTTTTTTATCTCTCTTTATTTGATGTAGGTTATGATTCATGAATGAATCTTTTTGAGGAGAGAGGGGATGATATGATCAAAACCACACCAAAAAATCCATTGCAAGTTTCAATTAAGCCAATTACAAGACAAAAAAAAAAGTTGAAATATACATTCAATGAGCTTATTTAGAATATTTAAGACAAGGTGGATTTCAAGGAGACAACATTAATAAATGAAGATTAGACCTTAGTCAATTTAATTCATGCATAAGAGAGGTTTGATTCATCTATTTTATGAACTAATTAATTTCAACATTTTTTATAGTGCTTAGTTTTACTCTAATAAACATAATTTTTTATCTAGTTTTTAGATTGGGTTAATATTTTATCAGAGATTTTTAGAGGTTTTGTTCTATATTGAGCTAAAATTTTAGGGTAATTAGACATCAAAAAGGTCTTATAATAAGGTTCAGAAGTTATTATGTAGGAACTATATTAGTTTCTATTTGATTTATGATTTTTTTTCTATTTTATTTAAACCTCTTTTATTATTTATCCAATATTATTTAAAGTGTTTTATCTATATTATAAATAAGGTTATTTAGCTTGTATTTAGATTTTTTTTATAAGAAAAAACTTTGATTTTATCTATTATTATTGTGTATGTGAGATTTTGCTTATACTTTTTGGTTCATTAAATAGTTTCAATTACATATTGTCTTGATGCCTTAGTACAGATTATCGTTGTGTAAAATTCAATTCCAAACTTGATCTTAGCCTTTTTAGAAAAAGCTAATTTGATTATGGGTTTTTGAATTTTTATATCAATAGAGTTCACATCATGTGTATAAAGAGAATGATTTACTAGGATAAGTAGAAATATATGCATAAGAAAAAGAAAAAAAATAATAATAAGAAAAAACATAATTAATGAGATGGTTAAAAAAAATCATAATAAGTTATTTCTCTCAAACAAGTAAGAGTTGTTCATCACTTCCAATACTTTATAAAATTAACTTTAAAATAAAAAAATGAACACCAACAACATCAATAACATGGATTTTTTTTAATAAAAATATCGTTTCATTTTTTATGCAATTTTTTACACTATTTTTATATAAAAAAATAAGATATAAGCAATTAATAATTATAATAATAACAATAATAATAACAACAAAAATAATAAAAATTATAATAATTAATTTATAGGAAACTTATTAAAGGATTTGATTGATATTGATGGAAAAGATGTAGAAAAAGTTTTGTTACCTAGTTAATTAGGTTTATTGTACAGAAAACTCAAACTTTAGACATCTATGGACAAGGACCCAAGACACGCTTCGAGATGTTTTATATAGTTTTTAGTAAAAGAGACGGTAAGTTTAGAAGGAATTTATGAACTTTATTGAACAATTAAAGTGACCCAAATAATTATGAACTGAATTTCTTAATAATTTAACCATGATATCATAAGAACTTTTTGAACCTGTATTTTCCCGGTAAATATTATAAATAAATTACTTCAAAGTAAATATGTATTTTCATAGAATTCAAAAGTGAATATTATGTGTTGTTATAAAATTTTGATTTAGGTCCAAAATTGTTTTCTTCTTGAGAAGAGAGCGGGAAATCATATCAAAATTAAGAAAAATTATGTTTAATTGATATATCATTTATGGGCTCTTGTTTTATAGTATATATAAGAATAAATTTATTTTTTCATCAAAATTTAAAAATTATACTAACTCGTGATATTTTTTAAAATAAAAAATAATGAAAAAAAACAACTAAACTATAGTTAGATCAAGGTGGTTTTCCCATTTAATAATCAATTAAATGAGAAAGTAGATGAAAAAAATATGTTGTGATTAAAAATCTCG